ACTGTAGTCTCACATTCCTTTCCAAGATTTCTACGTGGCCACTTTCCAAGAGGTTATCCAATTAAAATGTGGTATATATTTCTTATTTCTGCAATCTTAGCCACATTCCCCGCTTGTAGTGACTTCCTATATTATGTTCGTGACCGTCTTCTGTGATGAATGTGTAATCTGGTAGATCACCGATGTTTCGGAGGTGTTTTCTATCTACATCGTCAGGGCGATGACTTATCACCCTCAAAGATAAAGATAGAGCTACTAGGCTAACAGCAACGTTAATTTAGTCATAAATTAATTGTTCCATTATGTATCTAAAGGGACTATATTTAAAACTAGCGGTAACCTCAGGGTCAGGGTCTTCGTGCCAACATTTTATACAAAGACCTCCGGAAAAGAAACCAGGGTGTCTATATTTCAAGAGTAATTCCATAAAAACAACAGGGACATTAGCACGGTGTTAAGTATTATTCGGGAGATATATTTTGGAAGTTTTATGATACGGGTAGCTTCTATCGATCTGAAAACCCAGACAAAGCCAGATGCCGGAACGTCGAACATCTTTAATGTCTAACGTTTGGCAGTGTCCAAAGACAATACTTTATTATAAAATACAAAATATTCTTGTGTGATTAGAGCCTTCTCTGCTGACAATTTCACAACAAGAATAATGTTTACTCGTTAACCATTACCACTAAATAGCATGGCAGACTGTCAGTATTTGTAGCTAACTGTGGCTTTCATAATAATTTTTTAAAATGATAGTTGAGTTTTTATAATTTCACTTGATAGAAGAAGTTAGCACTTTTAAACATCCGCTCGGAAGTATTCAGAGTCAATGGCTGTTCCAGTAGCCACGAAGCAGGGAAGACAATGAATAATATTACCTCTAGAAGGTGTGAGGATTTTAGCTGTTCGCTAGAAGATGGTCGCCCTTAAAAAGGTGGTAATTACCTTCTCGCGCCTTGTACAGACGCGCCGGCATCAAACCCATTAGGAAGAGAGAGTTTTCCGAACCAAGTGTGAAGTGCGGGGCGGAAGGGACTACAGGGGTAGCGATTGGAAGTGGTCAGAACAAGAACAAAGAGTTACCTAACATTACAGGTTTATTTGCCTTGTTCTTCCCCCATTAGCTCTTCAGACTATTTTGTCCCACTGCTGATCTATAGGACGGGAAGTCAGTGGCGTGTTACAACACAGAATCCACCCTCACTAAATCTCTTAAAGGTTGGCAACACTACATTAAAAGTATGTGGACAGGGTCCGTTCAGATCCTATGCAAGTGAACTTATGCAGCACAAATACTGATGTGTGTTTGTGCTTCACAAATATGAAAAGACGTTTGCATTCTTCAAATTTGGACCTCATATTTAATTACACTCACATATTGTATGTACGGTTGCTGCAGATATTAGCAGAGCATTTGACGGTAATCCAGTGTGGTGACAAATAGCAGGAAGTTGTCTGTGGTGTGTCTGGTTTCAACTTGTCACATTAGTACCATTGACTGTCACTTGTTTGTTGCGTTCCCACAACGTTACTACAGGCAACAGACGTGTCTGACATCCGTTTCATCATCCTGGTGCTACCGTACAATTTCTCATATGAAATGTCTGCTCAGAACTATTTTGTATTTAAATTCACGGTGACGCCAGGAAGTACGTAGCCTTATTTGCGCCAGGGCCTAATAGATATTCTCCAAAATTTTAAGTAAGCATCAAGTGCGTAAGACGTCTTACACATTATGTCTTACCCACAAGTCCGCCACAGCAAATATGATTTTTCTGAGACGCAGTCACAGGTGTATAGAGATTCTTCATTTTATGATCACGGCCTCTTTTATTGCTGAGGACTTCTACATCATCTGCTTCTGCAAATCATATACAGGCAGTCTCCACGTAATCACCCTAGTAAAGTTAAGAGTAACACATTATGAAGTAACTCACTTCGTAAATTTTCTCTCCAGTTATTATGTATTGTTTCTAGGGTTAAAATATTCTGTTCACTCTTTTTAATGCACGTCTTTCATAGGGCGGGAGACCATATTTCAAACATGCTTATGAAGTATAATTATAATATGTTATATTTTAATATTTACTGTTTCAGATAGGAGAAGCAAGGTAAAACATTCTGAAAATAATGTTAGCAAACATCTCCCAAATTTAATGTGTTCTTTAATTTCGTGTTCTTGATGTTATTTAATTAAATTCAAAGCTTCCAAAAATTATAATCTCAGAAACTAAGAACGCCATTGGAATGACTTGTATCCCACTTCTGCACACAAGTGTGTATCTCAGCTCATTCTTGGCATTGTATTCACAGATCGGAACATCCAACCGAGGTCACAAGTAATGATATTGGGCGATGACACATAGATGAGGAGCTCAGAATAATGGGCAACGTCGTAACTGATTTCTCAAAAATATATTAATTACATACAAAGTGCTTCAAATGTTTTTCACCACAAATTCTTCCTAGTGTCATAATCCTGACTTTTTTCGGAGAAGTGTCTGATAATTTAAAAAAATGTAAACAGGATCTAGAACCGAGCGAATACAGGACAACCCTTTTTGACAAAATATTAAAAAAAACATTTTCCCGTTTTCCAATGCAGTGTACAATCACTCACCCGCTTTCACATCACTCTCTCATCTGCGGCAATTACCCCAACTGATCTCTTCGTGAGAGTTGTAACTGAAGCACAGAATAATTTTCTTAAATCCAAGAATCAGCTACCCAGTTCATACATTTTCCGCATGTTTCATAATCCTCCACACATCAGCGGAAGATCAGACGTAGTGTCACTTTATCATCAGCGAAAATTAAAAATTACGGGGCACTGTAGAATCTACAGTTTCGTTATACCCTGAGGTGCACTTGGGTGGACAAAGTAGCCGGTAGTTGGTGGTAGCATCCCAAGTGAAATCATAATCGTACAGAGCAAAATATAAAACATTAAGCCTCGCTAGATAATAATAAACACTTCCCAGTTTATGAATATTCAAATGTAATTAAATTAGTCGTGCATTTTTAAGGGTGGCGTGGGTTATATTGTAGCTTTTTCTTTTGAATTTTCGTAACCGATTCTTTTGGCCACACAAGCTACTTTAACTTCATTCTGTATGATTTGTCGTTAGAAACCAAATAAATTCTGACTGTTTCAATCGGCAATTTTAATATACAAATCAACTTTAATTTTAACTTTTCATTTTTCTTCACGCGGATGTCATAATAGTGACATTATTTTCGAGCAGTCACCAAGTTAATAATTTTATATGCCTATATTTTGCCAAATATTAATACAAATCATTCCATTTAGTGGGCGAAAGACAAACTCTGATAGGCAGGCACATCGACGAACCCGGACTGCCTTACTAACGGACAGATAAATCAGGTAAAGTCTTCCACCATATCATACAAAAATGGGGAGTTGGAAGAGGCTTAATTCAAATGGTCCAAAGTTTTTCTATAGATACAAGTACTTAAGCTGTGCTGCACGTGCGTATGGTACAATTTTTTTTATCAAATTGAATCCCAAATAAACAGTAATTAATCTGCGAAATTAGACTTCTCACACTACGGATACATATAAACACAACGTGTGTACAAGAATAGATCACTAAACGTAGGACTAAGGAAAACTAGTTACTTACATGTCGTGGTGAGATTCTGTAATATGCAAGTTCTTTGTCTGAAAAAGAAAAAAACTAATAAAAGCGGTAATAAGAAATGTGTCCTTGACGGAGAATAGCCTATGCATACTAGGAATAATACTTAAATAGCAGCATGAAATGGCGGCCACGCGAATCATATTTAGTTTTAGATACGATGGTGATTATTAATGAACTAAGTGTACTCGTAAAATTTAGTACAGAAGCTGATCATATACACATACCTAATCGTTCATAATTATTGCTTAAATTCCAACAATAACAAACATGGTGACTGAGTAAAACTTTAGGGTTATATTCAATAAATTTAATATAGTACAAGAACAATTCCTTTCCCTGATATTTAATGTCATATAAATTGTGCAGTCCATAAGTAACTTCCACAAATTAAAATAATTCAGAAACTTAGGAAGTCCATTAAAATATTACTTTGAAATCCGAAATTTCAGGAAGGCATTCCATGTAGAATCTAAATGCTTATTAATGTCGTTTCGTAGTGATGAACTACCATTCTATCTGTTGATAGAATGTCATAATTATGTTCCTGATTAAACGTTATCCTTAGGATTCCGACAAAATTATCAATCTACTTTAATTTAGGTTTAATTTCCAGTTACTATAAAAAGACCGAATTGGAATGCTGAATGGCATTGAAAAAGCAGGGTAAAAGGATACGTTGCGTTTCTTTCTCAGAAACGTCATTTAACAGTGTTCTGGGTTATAACTTATATAGCTCATATAATTGCTTGACTCATTAAAAGTAAGATGTGTTGCGTTGACAGTGTCATAATTAGCGGTTCTACTGCCACAGACCAGTGGGAGATTTCTAAAGCAATGCAGGAATTCCGTCGCTTAGCAACGTACAGTCTCGCTTACTTTAATTTACTAAATCAAACTGATCTACAAAACTCACGTCAGTAAAATTCAAGCAGTGGATGTGAATTAGGACTAGAATAACAGTGTTCCAGATTATAAAAAAACTAAGTAAATCTGAACAAAATAATAACAATTAAGAGTGAATACACCAAATGGATAAAGAAGTAGATTGAATTCACCTGGATATGAACAGGGAAGATGGCGGGCTCTCGTAAGCACGGTAATGAACCCTTGTGTTCCATAATATACGAAGAGTTTAACTAGCTGAGTGACTGTCATCTTCCCAACAAAGAATCTGTTTCATGGAGTTAATAAACAAATTGATGTATAAAGCAGGTTAACCCATCATATACGATCGTATACCCAAAACTTGCTTTTTGCTGGTAAACGCAACAAATGATAATGAAAATCTAGAAAAAAAACTTTGAAAGACGAGTATAAAGTTAAGCATGTTTCATTATGAAACATGAAGAGACTAAGAGCGTAAAAAAAAGTGATGAAGAGAGAAGAAGACGCTTCCAGATTCTTCACAAAACAATGCATGAGTGCCTTTGTTGTTCGTCTGTCGAAGAGTTAACAGTTCTTAATGAACGAATTTTTAATCAATTTATTCTATAAAATCCTTCCTCGATAACATGTAATTTCTATAGTTGAAGTACTTTAGCTGTTCAAAGTCGACGGAACAAGTTTCTTTCACTGATCTCAAATACCCAATAAATCCAGACAGAAGTGTCAATGCTGCTTCTATGCGAGATACATCATCTAAGAATTAAAGTTTTAACAAGGTCATATAAGTGTCTTTTCAGCCACCTCGTATAACAATGGATTAATGCCAATTATATGGTGTTCAGTTAGCTGTATTCTGAAATGTTAAGTAATTATACAGTTTGTTTCTAAAATGTGCGAATTCAAAGTGAAGTTCTTAGTCAATTTACATTAGCGCTCAAATGTCAAAGAAAAGAATATAAAATATCTGGAGTCAGTGTTTTCAAAATGAGGACGAGTCGAAACGCATCAACTTTTTAACGAGTTTTCCTGGCACTGAATAGCGCGGCGAGGCAAAGCGACTGAGAGACAGAGAGAAGCAATTCCTACGGAACAGCAGCCGACTCTAACAAGAAGAATGGTCAACCTCATCAAAACATAACGAGCCTTCTTTACTCTCAAATCACATTATAACTAATTGAAGAGAGAGTAGCATTCAGTATGGCAAGAGAGAGAAAAGGAGACGAAAAGAATATAAAAAAGTAAAGACTTCCTCCAACCCACCGTCACAAACTTACAAAAAGAAATCCTTCTCTCACTGCAGAAATAATGTTTGGTCTTGAACTGCAAATAAAAGCACCATACCGTAAAAAAGGTAGTTGACTGAAAATAAATTTCTCTAAAGCAAAACTCTGTAGCTGAAAGCTGTTTATTTTAAATTATACTACAATAAAATTATGACACAGTGATTAGATAATACTTATAGATTAGTCATTTTACACCATCAAATCGCTGGAGAATTAGTTTAACACAATTTTGTTTGTACGTTTTGGGTATTCAATAACACGTTTACCTCCTGAGATTTTCCGGATGTATCACATGTGGATGATATGCAACAAGTGTTGTTAAGACAAGCAGTGGGAATCATTAAACCTGGAAAATTTATCTACCCACAGCGCAGAAGACTAGGTTTATGTTGCACGCATTTCAAGCATCAAGGAAGGCTAAAACTATTGAAAATGACTACGTTCAGCATACATTGCACTCGAATGTGAGCTGATACTTTTATTTAAATGATAATTCTTATTAAGTATTTCAAGTACAGTACTTACTGCAAGCCTACGCAACACCAGCTCTAAAATTCAACAGGCCTGCATTTCGTGTACAGAGCAAATTTATGGATTCCGTATTATTATTTCACGAAAGAGCATTAACAAATTGATCTCTGTAATGGAGACGAGTTGTACTTTCTTTAAGACAGGAAATTAATTCTGCAAACCAATTAGACTATTAAGGAAGGCTTATAAGAACTACAAATTAAATTCGTCCAACAAACTCCATGGAGTATATCCTTATTGAGAAACCGGCAGTTGCTCAGCTAGTCAAGAAATGTTTCGTCTTTGTGAAAGACAAAGGCAATAAGCGTTGGCGAATCTATTGATTTTTTATTTTGTAAAACCCGTTTCGATATTACCTTCTTATTTGCTCCTAAGCATCTGAAATGGTAACGTGCCTTTTCTCTTTTCAAACAGAATTCTGCTCTTTTATCTCACACTTGCCACGCGTACAAATACGACGTGTAATGAATCCACTCTTTTCCTCTCCGATTCTCTTAAAACATTCCGCCTCATAAAATTCACGCGGCCTATTTTAAGTTATGCTTCTTACATGAAGTTCCTATATGCCTAAGGTTGTGTCAGAATCATGGAAACTTGAGGCACACTGACGTCATCATCATCAACTGCCGAAGACATATTAGATGAATACCATTACTCCATTCATGTCACACTCATTTCCTATAAAAGTCTACTCAGTTCTAGTCAATAACAGCTTAATAACGTTGTGTCAGAAGATTGCTGTCTTCTAGGTTATTGAGCCGTGTAGTCTGGTAGATTTCCACCAACGCTTCAGAGGTCATACTGCCTCCGTCATCAGGGCGATGAATCCTGTGGATTTTCAGTTCCTGAATGGTAACGTTTAAGGTCCCTTACAAACAGGCGGTGCGGATGGGGAATGTTCCCTACATCACAGCAGACGAACTTAAAGAGAGTTACACGAAGTGAAGGGGATGGAACCCGCTCAGTACAGGATGATGCAACTGCAAGATTTCGTGAACGCGAGGCAAGTTTGTTTAAACTTTTTCTGCAAACAAAGATTTTTATCAATAGAGTACCACAGTATCGACAGAGCTGATTACATGTTGGTTGATTTCAGTATCAGTGAGCATACTCTGGCCACACCACGCGATGATTGGGCAGAGTTACCCTCGCCACTTCACAACCTCCCCCTTCCCTTGTGCTGTATGCTCATGAAAAATTTGCTATCTTGGCGCCCGTTGGCATGGGGCGATGTCCATGACGTAATTAGCGATAATTCTCTTAGCGGGAATTTAGCTCCCGGCTCTGCCTGTCTGTCACTCAGGATACGAGAGTCGGATTGACACCAGCCAAGCGTGTTTGGGGGATGGGAGGGTCAGTTAAAAATATACAGCATGTGCAGAGGGCCGAGAGTGTCCCTCGCAGAAACTGAGAGATAGAATACTGCAACGGTTCAAATTTTTGTGGACCTGCATGCAATTTGCGTCAGTAGCCACGAACTGAGGTCTTGGTAAGTTTGCAGTAAGGCTTCATTCTTACTCCATAGTACACACTCTTCCCTGAAACGTTTATGCCTTCCGTATCTCTTATACGAATTGTGCCTACATCTTTGTATTTAGTTTGTACAAAGCTTTCAGCCATTTGTGGTGTGGCCGGCAAGTTGTGAAACAATAAGAAGACATTGCCGTATAAGTCATGGGAATGACAAATTGTGAGGGTTAGCAGAAAATTTACATTAAAGTCATTCTGAACCAGAAAGAGATTCAGCAGGCTGGCGTGGCGGAATCACCGGTTTGAAAATTAACCGGATTAATGTCTGTCCCGACTGGGAATTTTGTGAGCTTCCTCGTTCTCTCCAGGAAGACGCCGTCATTCCGATAGGAAGTTATACTGAGAGAGGTCGCCATTGCCGACTTACAAATTCGTATCTACTGATTCATGTTGACTGTAAGCGTTTCAGAACAGGATGCTGACAGGAACATTTGAACCTAACAGAATGGAACTTATAAAACAACGGAGAAATGTACAACATTAAGAGCTTTATAGCTTGCAAAATATTATTAGGGTCTCAAGTCAAAAAGGATGAGATGGACGAGAAATGTATCTCGCACGGGAGAGATGAAAAATGCTAAACATTTTAATCGGAGAACCTGAAGGCAAAAGAGGTTAGGTACGGATGCAAGGAAAACATTAAGATGATTCTCCATAAATAGGTTGTGAATTTGATTCAAATGGCTCAGAATTAAGTCAAATTGGGGAGTTATTATGAAAATTGATGGAAATTATGGTTCTGTAAAAGGATGGGAGTTTCTTGGCCAGCTAAGCGACCATTACCTTCTGTAGGACTCTGCTCCACGAAGTCATTCAGGACTAAGCAGGATTTGAGTTCTCACGGCGGTGATTCCAAAATGGCTGTCTTGTGGGTTGTAGCGCCGTGTCCTTGCTGCTTCCATCATAAGGGGGCCCTGATGATGGAGGCAGTAAGGACCTCTGAAACTTCTACCAGGATACACGGCGCTCCAACACAGAAGACAGCCATCTTCATATAGGCCTGTTGCATAATGCGAACTTCAGAAACAAACATTGTATACAGGCAGTATATACAGTGCCCCTATTATTATGCAAACAGCAGCCTGCAACACAAGTGCCATCTATATCCGCAGATTAGTTCTGCCAACCAACTCATATCATATCCTCCCACTGGCTGCACATGCTTTTAATTACACAAAGTGTGGAGACGATTTTAGATAATTACTGAAACGTGGATGATACAGCAGAAGTACATTTTTCTTACTTCTTGTTCTTCTATTAGTTTGTTCTTGTGAAATAAGAGCACTTTCTAGCGGGCTTCCAACAAACTAATAGCGCTTGCAGGCGTTTCCGCTAAGTAGTATAGAGGTGAGCAGTATCACAGTGCTTACAGGCGGATCATTGTCGAGAACGTGCAGTGAAATACAGACGAAGGGTACAGTCACGCCGGGTAATTCGTAGATACAATTTTCTTTTAGGGTAAATAGGAGGAAGTTAATCAGAAGTTGTTAACGCAAAAGGTTTTTTTAGAATCATTAATTTCCGATTACTACGTTAGTAAAGTTTTAAATAAAAAACAAACATCTCCAAGTCTAAAAGAATTAAAATCAAATCAATGAATATCACTGAGGGGAATAAAATCTTTGCTGTTTATTTGTCATTAACCTGAATGCCTCGGATTTACTAAAGAAGACTGTTACAAGTATAAATTGTACATACAGCACGAACAGTCTTCAGATTTCATCCGGTTAGTCTGAAAATAACGAGGGATCTGCGGCAACAACCAAATGTATTTACCACCCCCCCCCCAAGAAGAAAAATTTGCTAATCACTCCTGTTTCTCGCCTCAAAATAGTAGGCGTCATTTGAACAACCAAGTGGAATGGCAGAATGACATAAATGCGCCCCACGTTTCCTGCTAAATATTACGTGTTCATCATTCACAATTCGCCGGGGATATAACTAAATTTTAGAGCAGAAGAATGATTGCTATTTTGTAGCCTAAATTTAATTTCATCTGTAATTTAGAAAAAATATCACTTCAACCTTATGTTTTTTATGAACATATTTATGTAAGTGTTCTTTAAAATAAGTACACCTAATCTGTGACAATATCAAAAAAACTGATTTTGGTTTCGTGAATTTCAGGACTTACATCTATTTACCCTGCTATCAGCAAAATATTCTATCAACTTATTAAACTACATTACCGCATAACGTAATACGTTTCAAAATAACTAATCGTTCTTCATATTATAGCCACTATCACAGCTACGATTGCTTATTAGACGTTAATAATTAATTAACTTATTGCATAATATGCAGTCATCACCTAATATACGTAGATAATTATTTACTCATCTAGTCAAAAAATGTTTCTATGCTTTCCGACTGTTAATTACTATGCCGGACCCTATTTTAACGTGGTTTAATTGAAAACAAATCTTCGTACCTCATTTCCGTAATATTAACCTCGCGTCAACGCTTAGACCAGCCAAATCAAATGGGCAACTTCACAGTTTTCCCGACTGATTTTTATATCCAGTTCTTTTTCTTTTGTCTTGCGTGCAGTGTATCAAGCCCTTCGCATCTTCCACGATTTAATAACGTGAATAATATTACACACGTTTAATGAGTTTGAATATCTGTCTCTCTCCATTTTTAGTGTTAAATATCTTAACAAAATAATTAATTATCTTTTAAATCTTTCCTTTCATTTACCGTTCTTTATAATCACCCGAGGTTCATTCTGTGAAAGAATAATAAAGCCGATAAATTCACTCAAGATGGAGTGGAATGTAAATACGTCTTATTTTTAACACTCACTGCATTATAATTATTCGTGGCGTCTGACCATTCCGGCTGTAGCCTGGCATAACATTTATTGTCCAAGAATTTATTGATTCACTTTGCCTATACAAGTTTATGGATTTAATGAAAGCTGCCGCCCCCCAAACAGCAGGGAAGGAAGCAAAATTATGCAGGGGGCTCAAACATTCTTCACCCTCCACCCCTTTTAATAAAATACCTAGCAAAGGCCCAACGTAATAATGGTTAACACGGCCTTGAATCGTAACGGAGTGAATTCTACAGGCTATAGGTAGAACTAGGCTTCTCTGTTTGAAAATTCAGTCTTCAGATCTGGGTGCGGGTTATCTAGTGCTGCGACAAAATACAGCGCATTTCATTTGCCATTAATTCGTATACTCGACGACATTTCAATTACCTCAGATTATAAAGCATCTAATAATAGGACGACTGTTGGAGCAATGAACTGGAAATTAAGCGAATGGAAGCGGTTGTGGCCACATTAAAGGAACTATCTCGTCATTTGCCAGGGGAGACAGGAAATCCACTCAAAACCTCGTTTATTATAGCTTGTCTCAACGTCAAGATTTGAACCCATGACATCCCATACACGAAGCAGTAGTGATAACCATTTAATTGTCTGGAAGACTATCAGCATCTCAAGGAGACAACTCGTTATTGGTAAGTTAAGTACTTTGGGCTACAATAGACCCTAGTAATCTATGTTACCTATGATTTTATCTCAATAACTATTCATGCTTTGAAATACGTATCGCAAATCTCCCCACAGCCTGACAGGAGTGAGTCATGCATTTGCGTGTCGTGGTAATGGAGCTACTTCTAGGAGTCAAATGCTCCGAACTCTCAGAAAATGAACGAAACATTTGGATAGAGTATTTTATTTATGGTTTACTTAACGACGCTGTCAGTAGCTGAAATTCCACAGTGTCAATAGACAAAATTATTGATAATGAATTAGAAAATAAATTAGAGGAAGCTTTAGTGGCCTAATTGGATGTACTATACCGGGAATTTCCCGTTGGAACTGAGAAAAATAATAAATCCTCAAAAAAAAGTTCAAAACATTTTAAGAACCTGAAACGACTGTAGACTCTTGTTCAGGTATTTCCTTGTGATTTAGAATAGCTTGTAATGTCTTATGATATTATCAATGCTACAACACAAACCTGCTTTCTATCTTGGAGAAAGGAAACACATTTAACTTCCGTGATCCAATTGCTGCAAGGATGTAAAATCAGTACATGAACAAGTTGCACTATATCACTGAATATCACAATATTATAACGTGGGACTCAGAAACACTACAGATATGCAAACAGAACTCCACCAAATGGCTTGTTCCCGCTTGGAGGGGTAGACTGGGGAGTAGGAGTGACGTAAGACAGTCACAGGCGACATCAAGGCCACGGTAGTAAACTACAGTTTTATGCTAAGAACACAAGGCAGGTGAATCTCTTGACTAATACATGAAAGGTGAAACCACCCAGTTGCATGTCAACTGTTTCCTCTCAGTATTCCCTTGATCATCTATTATTCCGATGGTTTATTTTTTAAAGCCTTGAATTTAGCACTTAATGAAAATTGTACAAGTCTTGTGGAATACAGACTGCATCATTTTATTATTATGTGTTTAACACAGTTGTCCATGAGGATAGGGGAGAAAAGAAGTACTCTGATCCTTCCTTCACCGTGCTAACATTAAGGACACACATTTCCCTCGCCGGAGGGAAACATATAATACTGTAAGGTAGCAATTTACAGAACGAACGGTCATATTCACTTCGTCTTTTTTTTTTTTGTATTTTCTTTTTCAGAAAACGAAAAGTGCGTGTCTGATATTGATTTATGAATAAATTATACAGCGTGGTAGTAGAGAGGGTAGCACTCCTGCTTCTATTAGGTGGGGTCCCATGTTCAAATCTCTGTCCGGAGAACGGCAATACTGAAGGGCTTCAGGGTTCTCACTTCAGACAAATGGTGGGATAACCGCTTAAAAACACCATGACCACTTCCTTCCGGGTTCTGTCCGATTCATCTAAAATTCACAATCATTCTAACATTTGACGCAAAAATATCCTATAGAAAATGCGTCGTTTCGACTCAAAAATAAATCAACAAAGGAGTACTTAACCTAATGGGCAAAGCGCAACTCATTTCTTGTTAGTTTTAACAAGAGAAACTTTACATATTTTACAATACACAAATGCAAACAATTTGTCCATGGAATCTCAAAAAGTAACCCATCCGCCGACTGAAAGGCCTCATTTCTAGTGGCATTGTCTGTTGGACAATGAATGCAGTTTATGCACAGAAAGATGTGAAATTGGAAATCAATACTGTTGTCGCTGAAACAATAATTTATTTTTTAAATTTTTAATAAAATGTCGCCATTATATGCGTGAAACTGTTTTGCGAAGCAGTGGGACACCTGTAACGTTGCAGAATGATTGCAGCGTCCCTCGAGACAGCCCCGAAATAAACATGAAATCCCAAAATTCAAACTCAAATGCACTAATTGCAGACAAAATATGAAATCAAGTATTTTGCAGAATTTATACAGAAAATATAAAAAATACATTATCTTTAAATGAGGTTGAAGAATAAAAAATGGCTAATTCCAGCTAGTGTACTATTTCGTTAAGAGAGAAAGTTCCTGAAATATTTTTCATGCAATCTTTTTTTAACCTTCCACAAACGAACAAAATGGGTGAAAAGAAAACTTATGATTTCGAGAAACACCTGGCGCCAGCGAGGACGCCCAAGAAAAAAACAACAGATTATTGTGTGAAGATAGTGAGCACTCTTACGAATTTATATTCCTGTTCGGCCTTGATTTTAATTTATTGCATTCACAGACCAGTTTCTTCGTTTCCTTAGTGTCACACGCTTTCCGACAAAAATTCGTAATATACAACAACATTCATATCGATTGTTGATAAAGTTAATCAAAGAAAGAAGTTAAATTATCATGGGCTGGAGTCAGTAATCAGCAATAATAATCACACAAATATCAGTTTTATTCGGGTGTGCTGACGAACAAAATAGTAAGGAATTACACAGAAACACAATGGATATTCTGCTAACTATAGCAGGAAAAGAAAAATATATTAGCGATAAAAGAATTATAATAGTGAGTATGAGCAGCCCGTGCTAATAACTGCAGGATGAGAAGAAAGAATGTTTAGAGAACTAAGAAACAAGGACGAAAGAGAGAGAAAAACAAACAGATCTAAATAAAGTATAAATACAAATAAAGAACAAAGAAAATTAAGAAAAACATTGAACTGATAAAGCTGTTTTCCTGCACAGTTCTTGAATTCGTTACCGCGAGGGATATCAGACCCACGACATAAATCAAGTGTCTCTGACTCACTAGTTAAGTTGTAACAGAGTTGAGGTAATAGTCAGCGCCTGACATCTTCCAGACGCCTTCATAGGCGCAGCGTTCCAATTCTTCTGAATAGTCGCGAAAGACGTTAATAAGAAATTTGTGCAACACAAACCTCTCGTGTGGTCAACGACGTTTCTGCTACAAAAAGAACCTTGTCTTGTCTTTTTCATTGCAGAACGGGACACTGAAAAGCAACGTTTTAAGTGACAGTGGAAATAAGAAACACGAACACACATCTCATGTCCCTATGTAAACTACCTGATACTTCCTTCTTTCGTCGTTTCAAATGTACTAAAGAGTATTGTCAGATTTATTAGTTGTGGCCGCTGGATTGCGCATTACAAAAATAATACTGGCTGTGTTACATCTGCCACAAGAATATACAGATACAGAAGACAACTGAAGAATCTTGCTTGGTTATAACATCTGCCTGATCATTTGACCCGATCCTTTGATAATGGACACGACCATCTGCTGTCCAGTTAAAATCGGCCACCTCTAAAAAATAAGACAGTACATAGTAATACAATGTTATAATTTATACTGATACTTTACATAAGGACTAAAGAAATCAAATGAGAGTCGCTGGTTAGTCAAGATTTCTTTCTCCGTATTTTTTTTATTTCGTGGAACGCACACAGCTCAAGAGTATTCCCTTTTATTATATTAAGGTATTTCACACAAGTTTTGTAAACATGTTTGTTTGAGCAAATACGTTCAGTGTGAAAGGAACAAAGGAGATGTGCAAGGAGACAAGGAAAGTAGTTCACTGTTATATGTAACCACGGTGTTATGCACCAAACAAACAAACAAACAAACACAGGATCCGACAGCGTTTTAACAGCATGTTATCTGACATCAGATGACCACCATTTGCTTTGCAGAGGTCGGGTTTATAGGACCACCCCCTTCGTCACACCGTAAAAATATGGCAAGTTACCTAGCCTCAAATGGACCAAATTTGGTGTCTTACGAAGGTTTACCAGTTAAAATTTGAACGGACGGACTGCATTAAATTCCAAAGCGTTATGTCGGCGTTCAGTTCTTGACAGAAGGGAACGTCGGCAGTCATTTTAATGACGGAGCTGCATTGAAGATGGCTGTCTTCCGGGTTTTAGGCCGTGAGAACCTGAAATCCTACTGAATGTTATCGGGCTATATACTGTAAAATTTGGTTTTACTTTAAAAAGTATCCAATATTACGACCGCTGGTGTGGGGGAGTAAGGATGCATACATCGATCAAGAACTGTGAAAGAGATCTTTTATGTGAAATATTAAGCAGCCGTCTTTATCTGAACGAAGATGCTATTCCTTGTATGACTCCTCTGCACCCACGTCACGTCGCTGCACATCAAAACACGGTCCAGGAACTCGGATTGGATGACAGCCATCAGTTTATAATTGAATTTAGATAATGCAATTCGATTCGCTCGTACAAGCAAGAGCAAACAAGAAGCGACAAGTGTAGGTTATTGTGACCAGTTCTATATGTGTAAGGGCGGATAGATAGAATTCTGACCTAACTTTGAGACAAATAGGCATCCTTGTCATAACACGAGGTAATTTAACCTACTTGAAATTGAAGTCGAACTTTGTATATATACATTTATTGATTTAAAATGCCTGGTTTACCTAAATCCGAAACTGGAGCCCACTTTCACTTTTATGTTTCCATTTTTTCTGACTGAAAAGTGTAAACAAATCGGCAAACGTGTCTGGCAGGTTCATTTGAATTGTGTGTTGTGGAGGAAGAAGACAGTTAATGCTTCTCTTTAGCGTATTATTATTGACGTACGTTACTATTGTTGGTAATTTTGAGCTGTATAGTTTCCGTCTGAAGTAAAACTTTATATCAGTACATTTTATTGATTTAGAAGTTTGTTGTATATATCAGAATCAAAGAAACCGAACAAACATTCTTCTTCAAGTACACGCTAGTACGAGTAATTGAAAGAGAAGAGAATAAAATAACAACCTTTTCAGCAACACTTCATGTGGCATTCGCTATGCTCATACTGAGTTTTTCGTTCAGTACGCAATTCATTATTTATAATACAATGTGATATCTCCTATAATGTTCTGCTACTTGGCACGGGTAATATTTCATTATTATATGCTTAGCACTCTTTCTGTGGAAAAAAATTCTTTCAAGATTACCATTTTAGAGTATTCATATGATCCTCTCCTTTGGCATGAAGATATTTTTCTTGCTTTTGTTAGAATTGCCTCTCAATATGGTCGTACGCACTAGGAAACGATATTTTCCTGGTTTCATGAAGGAATTAAGATTGTCATGACCATAGCTACGTGCCACTGACTCCCGCGTACATGAAGTTCTAAGGACCAGGTTGACTGTGTATAAGTGCTAACTGTAGCCTACCTTGACCACATACAACTAATAGGCTGTACGGCATTATTAAGTACAGACAGGTCTTGTCGTATAGACAGTGACTTTGTATTGGTATGATAACCAAGCGAGAAGTTCGCGTTTCTTTGGATTTCTGACTGTGTGTATCTGTACAACAGCGTCGATGGATTTTGAAAAAAATTCCGTACTGAGAATTTTTACTAAATTCATAGCGCAAAATACAACTAGTAAGCGCATGCTAACTTCATTCTTCTTTCTTACATTATATTAAAAAAACATGTTCGGTATGAAGGCTCTTGTTTCTAGGGTCATCTGCACGATCTATCTGTTCTACAGAATCAAGGCTCCGAAACTTTCGAGCTAGGAGAAATCTGAGGTCATTCAACGTGCTGAACAACGTACAAGATATTAAAATGAAATTGGCCATATTTTTAAATAAGTGCAATCTGTTATAATATGTTTGGTGCAGAGGAAAGTAATAACACGGCCGCAAAGCCAAATGTGGTTGAACCGTAAACTCTTTTAATTATGGATTGTGGTCTTGTGGGCTCTGACGCCGTGTGGTGTCAAAAGTTGTTACCAGTGTTTTGGAGGAACTTCATTTATACTATAAAGATAGAGGCGACATCCGCCTACAAGTCATCATGGCGTCATAACCCAGGTAAACGCTAAGCCAAACTCGCTTGAATTCTTTGCTGGTAATCATATCTTGTAACCTAATCAAGGAACATCGCAACGTAAGGCCGAAAAACGTCATTTTTAAATTACAATTAAATTATTAAGGCGCAGACATCTTTGAAATATTATGAAACATCTGACGAATTATTATTCTCTGTCGCTTGTACAAAACTTCAGGGGTGTTCAATATTTTGAAAGAAATGCCGACATCAAGAGACTCTGAATTTAGTTAATGTTGGGAAAGTTCTCAAGTTAAATGCATAGTAATGCAAAAATACATAAATAAGTAACATGAAAAAGAAGTGTAACAAATATACCCAATACAGACAGGTAGCGCATATACAACGCTGCTCTGTCTTCCTAGGTCAAAATTTACGCCGCTGAATATGAACCGAAAGGGGGCGCATGTAAACCCGTCCTCTGACTTACTGAGCACTAACAGCTTAAGTAGGATGTTCTGTCACACAGCAAGTGGGAAACAAACACTCAGAAATTTACATGGATCGGGAAGGAGCAGGAATTGGATTCCACTTTCTTTTAATTCCGGATTTCTGCACAATAATAATAATAATAGTAATAATAATTTCGTTCCATTTATAAACAGGAGTTATTCTTCTCCACTAAAATATTATGAACAAGTAACAACGATGGGAGTTAGGAATTCTCCGTTACATTAATTTACAACCAAAACAGTCCTGGGGAATTTCATATCGTTGTCTTATTTCTGTTGTGTGTTGTTTGTCTATTTTGCAGTACCTTCTTCGACTCTAAAATATTGTGTTGGAAGAATCATGCAAGGGATTTTTTAAAATCATATTTATTTGTGTGAGCTAGTGCTTGCATTTTGTTATATCGAACCTGATTTGGCGCAAGACACAATGCGATAAGCGGAACCGAATATGGCACGAAATTTGCAACATTCTATATTTATGCACAGAAGAAACTTTATAAACAATTCCGCTTCTGAAAATACGAGGTAGTCGACTGGACATAGACTCTTTTCACTCAACAGCAAACTGAGTCTTCTACGTTTCACCCATAGGCTACACAGGAAAATACAGTGTGTCCCACACAACGTGGAACTCGCCATTACAGCATGCGGGGATGGCAGCGAGCTAACTGCCGGGAAATAAGTTGGTCACAACTCAAAACGTAAACGTCGCCTGCTAGCAGGTGGGTTCCGAGTTAAGTGGGACGCCCTGTTTCGCTTTGTACTGCGGATACGGTGCCAGAACAATGGACCCATGGACCAATGACGTCCTTTAAAAGCATACTTAATAACGACAGAACAATCGTAGTAAAAATTGCATCAACAAACTTCTTTTAAACTCTAAAAATACCTGAAAATATAAATTCCATGCCCAATAAAGCATTGTGAAATGGTTAAATTTAAGAATTTTCTAAGCTGACAAATTTTAATCAAGTTAATTCGAGAAAAAAAGTTTCGTGATACAGCTAAAAAATCAAACAGAGCTCAATTCAAAAGGGCTAGTATTAAAATTTAGCTTGCCTCCTAATTGTAACCCCTTCAGAAATTAAATAATATGTAGTCATAAACGCGTCATATAAAATTTAGTGAACACATTTCTGCAAGAAACAGTAATTTATAATAATAATCGGTTTAAAGACTAAATGACGTCAATGTAAGGATTTCGGCAGCACGGACGTAAAGGTCCATTTTATTTATCTCACACACTTCAATTAGCTCAGTGGCAGCTGAGTTTTTCAAGCCAGACTTTACTGAAGTAGCAGAAGACGTTCTTTTGCCAAAGCAGGTTCAACATTTGAAACTGGCTGTGATTTCGCCACACTGCCGCCTGTGGCGTGACTGTTAGTACTAATACAGCCACAGGGAAACAAACGAAAATAACCCTGCGCAATTTATACCCATACCGATACGGAGAAAAACGGGTCAAAGGAGTTTTGGTACGTAACATTTTCAAAATATTTACAAAAAACCGCTAGAACTGCTTCATTCTTTGCTGAAATTAATCAGAAGGGGTGGCAACACCGTTCATAATTTTCTTCTAATTAATAAGTAATAACTAACAAACTTTTTACACTAATTAAAAAACAAACCTCCAAGTCTCTTCCCAAAGAAAGAGTTTCTTTCTGTTTTAACAATGATTCCTTTGTAGCAATGCTGTCAGAATTATTTGATTTGTTCTTTCTTTGTCACATTTTGAAAATGGAACATCTAATTTCAGACACAAACCCATTCTATTCACCTTCACAAAGGCTTGCTTATTATAACAGATACAGAACCTGAAGACATTTGGGTTCAATAAATGAATTCACAGTTTCATTTGACCGCTAACTTTTGACATGCGCACTTTTATTGGCAGGAAAACAGGTGTCAGAGGTCTTCTTGTCCCTGCAGACGGAAGTTCCTCGACCCAATAAAAATCTATTACTGGCAGATCACGGTTTATTAACATCTCCGAGACAAACCTTTGCAAAATCTGCGTGTGTATGCGTACTTTACAGGGCAGATAAAAATGACTTTACCATTATCTCTCTGAACGTAACTTGGGCATCCGCGTTTAAAATCATTCGAATTCATTCCCTTACATACATCAAACGTCTTCAAGTTATGAATCTATACCGGCAGTATTTAAGAATTGCGTACGAGGGCGTAGAGTATGAGAATCGTTATAAACTGACAGAAGAATTATTCTTATCACCCAAAATGTTAACTTCGCCTGCGAACTTTTTCTTACGTTTATCTCGTCTCTTCTGAAGAATGTTGCTGCCACTGAAAGCATCACACCATTTCTTGATTATAAAATCACCATACTTTTTCAATCCCTTTATGAACAGAAGAGAAAACATGGGTGAATAAGTTTCGTTCAAATCGTTTACAACTTCCAGATGCCAATGTAAGAGGGTGATGGCATATTATATGAAATTCTTTCAATTATAGGTTACTCCAAAACAGCAGCGAATTGCTAGTTTCGGTAAATACCGCAAGTTTAAGTTTCGTTAATACTTGTTACCAGTTTTGCCTTTACTAATATGGCCTATTAACCAACGCTGTTATGTTACTGTAGCGACAGAATCACCATCGCTTAAAAGAAAGTTCGGACTAAAAGTCTGAAGTTCCGCTGGTCTAACGTCTCATGACTTGTTGGCAGTCGCCGGGAGACCAAAAGTGGATCCACTCGCAGACGAGACGGGTTCCGTGTGCCCATTGTCCAATCTGCAACAAAAACACGCGTTGTGAGTCATTCGTCCTTTCTACCTACCAAGAATTATTTCATGTTATACACAGATGTGAAATCTGGTCTGTCACTCCAAGGAAAGAACATGGATTGAAGAAGTTTGAGGACAATATTTAGACCTAAGTGAGATGAAACAAGGACGTAACAAATGATTAGTAGATGATAAGAGTAAAAATTTCCAAGATACAAAATATTACTGCGATAAAGAAATCAAGGAGGATGAGTGGGTGGGGCTTGTAGCACGCACGGGTACCTGTGAAATTCATACAAAGATTTAGTCGGGAAACCTAAACGAAAGAAACCAATTTCAAAATTTATTCGTAGATGTTAGGTTATTGTTAAAATGGATCTTATAATAAGTAGCGTATGCGAATGTAACTGGATTCAATCGGTTAGGACAAAGCCAGTAACGAGATTTTGAGAACACGGTGTTTAACATTCTTGTTTCATAAATTACGTGAAATGGCTTGGCAATAATCAGCTTATGGAAACATATTCTGAACAATGTAGCCAGTCAATCAGTTACGTAGCTACTTAAACAACCGAAATGCATTTTGGGTGAAACTTTTCGGCAAGGCACGTAGGTAGGAAGGACAGAGCGTGCATCTGGCTTGAAAAAACAATTAAAGGGGAAATAACTGCTTAATGATTCCTTGAAAATTCGTCACAACGGTTGATTCATTACAAGGTCCGTTTTCTGAGGATTATTCAATAACACGACGTCTTGGGACTTGATCTACTTTCGTCTACAGGAAGCTAGCAGATAGAGTGAAAATAATGTCACTTTCCAGTTTTAGGAAAATTCCGATGTAGTGGCCGTGCGGCGGTTTAAGACATGAATGGTCTTGGATCGCCCCAAAACTGGGATCTTGGGTTCGAATCCCATTCGAGGCATGGATGTTTGTCCGCTATTTTATTTACTGTGTCATCCTACGTTGATAGTGGATTTTTAATAAGTCGATCCCATGTCAAAGGAACCCTACCGAATATTTAAAGATGATTCGTACTTTAAGAAGTTGATTCTAAATTGGAACTGGCCAAAGAGCCTGGTTCGTAAAGGATGAAAAAGGTCATGTATCAATATTGCGATAAACCATACTTAAGAAAATATATATCAATCCGATTAGTTTAACGTCGATATGTGAAACATGCGTAGAAAATTTGTGGGATAACTCTCAGTTCAAACTACACTCAAACCCACCAAATTCAAAGTAGATTCGCGGACTAATTTCGGAGACGAAACATACGAACAGAGAAAACATGGCGCCCTTATTCTGAGCTGTAATGGAAGGGCAGTATCAGGCCTAAATCCCGGGTACGAAGGGCGGAGATGGAGGATGCTGAAGTTTGCACTTGTAAGATAACTTGGCTTACGAACACTAATTACACTAATGGTCAATGACTACTGACGGTAAGCGAAGGTTGCAGGGGGGAAATGGAAGGAAGGGATGATGCATTCGATCGCCTGCACCCTCCTTCCTAAGATCCTGCAGGCTATCGGTACCCCTACTGTTTCTGTCAGACGGTGAGGGTTCATACATATCGTGGGGCCATATTTATATGTTGGGCCAGCACAATATATAAAGAAAAGACAAAAGACCTGGGCCGGCTAATCAGACGCAGTTAAGTTGTAAAGAACATAGGACAGACAGACAAAGATGACGCTTAATGAGAATTACTCTGTCCTTTGTCACAAGCGACAATTTCATCATAATCATTATCACAGTGATGGGTTTAGGGAGAAACCAGTGGCGTATTTAATGATGACATCAAAATCAAGAAATTGTGGGGGCAAAGCTCCATGCATTCTACAGATAGGCACTAAATTTCGGCGAGTGGTCAGCGCTACAGACAAAGTGTCCATGGTACACGTTAAACAAGAGAGAGGACAGGATGGGTCACAGAGCCATTCTGGGTACAGCGGTGGAGAGCGGAAAGTCCTTGCCTCTACCAGGAATCATTCACTTTCCTTTATGGAGTCATCCCTGATTCAGATCAGAGGTAGAAAGAAAATTAATCCTCAGCATAAGACAGGATGACAATATGACAACAAAAGAATACTTTTATTTTGCTCTATTCAGTGTGACTAGCGTTGAACATTAGATTTATCACGGTATTTTGGTTGGGTAATATCCACTCTCTGTTATTTAAACCAATATACACCTTTTCAGACATCTAAAATTTACAACGTTTCGGAGACTGGCTAATTCTTTCTTCAGGAAAGAAAGTATCTGCTCAGTGGGGCCCGTTAGATAAAGCTAGTCTTTAACACTGCGCCCCACAAAGTAGGTATCTCTTCCCCGAAGACGGAGACAAAGTCTGCTTGCGAAACGTGGTAAACTAAAAAATCTTTATTTTTAAATTTTATATTATCTAAATAACAGACTTTTCCTCAAGAAGAAAGCAGTCGTTGCGTGAAACTAACCACTCACCTCTACCTAGTGCCGAAATCAAGAAAGGGTGGAGCTATACCCCCACTACTCCATACGCTTTCATAGCTTGATGCGTTATAAGCAGAGACAACGGATATGTCAGACAGTTAACGCCAACATACCACAGACAAAACACTTTCGAACAAACCCGTCTTCAATAAATAAAGACAATCCAACAGAATATGCAGAATCACAAGGAAGGAATTTAGGAATTAGACTACGTGTACTCCGATGTAGCACAGCAACACAGTCCTGTCAGACGGATTATCCGATCGAAAGATGTCGCTTGCCAAAGATCCAGTGGCTAGGCCATGTATAGATCTGTCTATATTTTAACACATACTCGCAAGGTGGCAGCTGTGAATTATTACCTGTTCGTGTGACGTTTATGGATCTACTGCACCACTCACTTCCGCGGGGGGTGGGGAAATGAGGACCAGGCTAGCTTATTCCCGCTAATACGTTTCCGAGTGTAATAAAGGTAAAAATAAAATAAAAATAAAAGAAGACAGAGCTAGACACCTACGTTACAAACAGAATAGAAATAGCTTACACACTCAACTGCATCATTTTATCAAAGTCCTGAAAGTTAATTTCCTATCCGTCTTCATGCTGACCTACCCAGTACAGTAAAAGTTATTATTTTTTGATGGGGTGGTTATTTTCCGCGGAGTGTATGATTGATGGCATTGGTCAAGTGGAGGTCCCGTTTCTCCAAGACTGAGATATAAATCACACTATGCAACCCCCCCCCCAAGTGCTACTTGACCACAAATCAATGTGTCATGTGACTCATACGTCACCATGCCTTATGTTGCCATACGAAAAGCTCAGATTATTGTGAGAGGCTACCATAGTTATAATAGTTAAAATGTGTGTGTGTGTAAGGAACAGCGAAACAGATGACCCTGTTTAATTACACGCGTTATAAGGGAACGTCACTCAACATCGCCACCCCACCCCCCACCCCCAAGCCCATCGTACATGTCAGTAGCAGAAGGACGTACATCACCCTCGTGGTTCACATTTCAAAAACAGAACCACAGACGTGGAAACGCAATTTCGTTTCTATTTCTATAACTCAAATATGTCGTATGATTAACTTGACTTTCATTCCATTGGTTTTATACCATCTGTCAATTGCAAGTAGAAGACGTGGTTACCTGGTAACACGTTCCTTACATTCATGTCAACACTTTTACTTCAGTAATTTGCATGACATTCTAAATCAGAGATACTATGCTCATCGCTTAGACTTCAGTGAATGGTTCATGAATTTCTCGGAATGTTTATGAACAGGGACAAATTTAGCTTCTACCATCGATCTGGTTCATGCAGGATAGGACGACGGTGCTTGGTGGTAAAGTAAAAGCAGGTAACAGCTGTAATAATGAAGCAAATCCTATGCCATGGAGTGATTAAGAAACTGAAGATTCTGTGATGTCTTAGTCGCCAGATGCGACATCTCGCTTCAATGGACTGTACTGAGCTTCTGGGACTTCCTCTCTCACTCACCCTCCATCATCGTCATCTGAATGTTTTCCATCTCTCTTACCTTCCCTACAAAAGGCTTTCCCATAAAGGCGAGGGTAATTGGGGCGGGTAATGAATAAATGAGTGGGTAAATTGTGGAAGGGTCATACTGACCGCTCCGCGTATCCTCAGGGGTTTCTGCGCTAAGGCAGCGGTCTACTCTACTATAAAGCCTGAGTGGATATGCGCTACAGACACTACCAAAACACATGCAGCAGTCCAGTGATAGTCGCTGAGCACGTCAAGAAATTCCTATCCATTTATGCAGCCCGAATGTTCATCAGCGCGTTCAGAAGAGCCCGCCAGTTGTCCACATTCTGAGGCAGGTAAACTCAATCCATATCTTAACAATCCATTCCTTTAATAATATCCCACCAGGTTTTGCGAATAAAATTTCGTACGCATATTCATTTATGACGTCGCCCATACGCGTTACATGTCCGCCAAATTTGGCCCTCCTGGGTTCGATCGCTCAAACAATATTTGCCAAATACTATAAATTATACAGCTACTGAATGTGGTGGTTTCCTACTCTCCTCCTGTATTAAGGTACAAAATCTATGCCGATCAGTGAAAACATGACACGGACGTTGCCCCACTCATCTTAACTTCAGCATAAGTTGGAAATGCGTAAACACCTTCAGATTTCAGCCGTATCCCCCCAGAGAGGAATGCGATGCGGTGCGCACTCACAGAAGACTCAGTGGGCCCTACATTCGGTAAAATCTGGTAGAGAATCGAACCCCTACCGTCCAGCCCGAAGCCACTCAATTTCCTGATTAAAGTATCGCGGCTCACACTGTGTGAGGAGAGATGACACAGCGACCAACAACTGGAATGCCCCTCTAAAACTGCAATTACTTTAAGCGGTGACTTGAAAATAACCGAGACGAATATGGGCGGAAAAGAGCGAAGTGCATCATTTCGAATTGTATTCTGGTGACCTAGAGCAAGAGATCTAGTTTGTTCACTCCATAGTAATAATGAACAAACATACAGCAGCTTAAGTACCA